CATGCGAGCCCCAGGCCATCTCGGCCCGACTAAAACTGACCCCTGCAATAACTTCTACTTGATCCCAAGCCCCAGGGTCACTCACCGGCTCGGGGGTAAAGGGGAGGGGAGGACAGAATACAGTGAATTTTCACAAAATTATGCCCCAAGCTTATATGTCGTCCTAGCCCCGCATCAGTGGTGATTATGGACCTCAGGCCCAGTATGTTTGACAATACTTGATTCCGCCTCCCGCAACTCCCCCCTCGGGAGAAGCGGGTGCTCTACTGGCGTTCGCTCACATTTGTCCGCGGGGAGCGCCTGCGATTAAGTGGGGGGCGTTCCACGTCAAACCATCATGGTCCAAAACGTACTTGCTCAGATCCGGCCCCCAATTTTTTATCTGGTAGTGTACCACCCAAAGACCACTCTCATAAATTTTTTTGAAAAAAAATTCAGAACTTTGGCCACAGTGATTTTTTGAAACTTCAAAAAAAAAATTAATTTTTTTTTTAGTTTTTTAAAAATTGTGTAACTAGGTGCTCAAATGGGTTGAAAACAGTAAAGGGCAACATAAAATAGTGAAAGAAAATATTGGGACCCCCAGCCCTTACCAGAAACAAAGTTTACGATAAAAAAACCCACGGTTTCTTGAATTCCCAAAATACGCCGTCTCACTTTTGGACCATATTGGCATCAAAGGACCCCAAGGAGGTACTCTAACTGTCACTAAAAAATTAGGGACGGCAATCCATAAACACCAGAGATATTGTCAAAAAACTCAAAAAGTTATCGAAGGTTATCGAAGCTTTTCCCCCCAAAAATTGTCAAAATGGGACCTTTATTGATTCCGCTGAGGCACTGTGCATTGAAATACTATTCAATTGTCTATCTTAACACCATGGAAGATGTGAGAGAGGTAAAGGTCAGCATTACAAGAGTTTTTGGGAATTTCACGGCAATAAGTTTTTTTTAAATTTTAATAACCAAATGCGTCAAAATGCATTGTTTGGCAGTCGCCAACTGAAGCTCATTGATTGGTGGGGACTTCATCCAAGCCATCTTCACCTTGACCATGCAACTGCTGGAGACTTAAAAGAAGAAAATGAAGATGACCTGGATGAAGTCCCACCAATCAATGAGCTTCAGTTGGCGACTGCCAAACAATGCATTTTGTCGCATTTGGTTATTATAATTAAAAAAACTTATTGCCGTGTAATTCCGAAACTCTTGTAATGCTGACCTTCACCTCTCTCACATCTTCCATGGTGTCAAGACAGACAATTGAATAGTATTTCAGTGCACAGCGCCTCAGCGGAACCAATATAGGTCCCATTTTGACAATTTTGGGGGAAAAAGCTTCGATAACCTTCGATAACTTTTTGAGTTTTTTGACAATATCTCTGGTGTTTATGGATTGCCGTCCCTAATTTTTTAGTGACAGTTAGAGTACCTCATTGGGGTCCTTTGATGCCAATATGGTCCAAAAGTGAGACGGCGTATTTTGGGAATTCAAGAAACCGTGGTTTTTTTTATCGTAAACTTTGTTTCTGGTAAGGGCTGGGGGTCCCAATTTTTTCTTTCACTATTTTATGTTGCCCTTTACTGTTTTCAACCCATTTGAGCACCTAGATACACAATTTTTTCACTGCGGCCAAAGTTCTGAATTTTTTTTCAAAAAAATTTATGAGAGTGGTCTTTGGGTGGTACACTACCAGATAAAAAATTGGGGGCCGGATCTGAGCAAGTACGTTTTGGACCATGATGGTTTGACGTGGAACGCCCCGTAGAGCAGGCAGCCCCTGCAGCACGCGTGCCGTTTGGTGGCCTACCTTACAGGCGCTTCGGCCCTGGACCACAGGCCCTTGTACACTTTCTTCGGCCCCCTCTGCGGGAAGCGTCGTCTCAAAACATAACCGCAGTAAAATGGGATTGGAATTTTCAAAGAAAAAGCAAGTTCACCGAAAATGTTGCTCATTGTATTTAGGTCCTTGTAAATTGTTTACCGCGGTTTTAATGACTTCTTCCTTGGCTTGGCTATGTTTTTGATCCTTGAAATTCCGCCCTTGCCAATGGAATACTCTGATGAGGCTTCCTCTGATACTGGGACTGTTGCCAGGACGTGTGGAGTGGGTGCCACAATTTGGCAATACTTTTGGATATTGCCAAAACCACGGCATTAAACCAAGGTCATGTACCCTCGATTTGTTCGACGGATATTGCCAAAACCACGGCATTAAACCAAGGTCATGTACCCTCGATTTGTTCGACGTTTATTGCCAAATCGTGGCAATACTCAAAAGTATCGCCAAGGAGGCAATACTTTTCCGTAAGGCCGTTTATTGGCGATACTCAATTGTATCGCCAAAAAAGGTGCTAAAAGTGTTGCCTTTGGATTTAGACTGACGACACACACAAGCAAATGCACAGGCCCTCCCCGTATTTTTGGATTAGAAGGGCGGGCCGAAAAGGGGTCATAACCCCCCTTTTCCAAGAACCTGATCTGGCCAACTGCCAAAGTCGGGCTCCTAGACCCCCCCTTCCGACCCCTCGTGAACCTTTCAATTTGAAGTCTGTACCTATAACATGCTTAACATTATATGTTCGACTTCTCGAGGTCAAATCTTTTCGGAAACCAAATCTTTTCTATCGCCAACTTGAAATTTTAACTTTAATTCTATATTTATGGTATACACACAAGTAGATTCCAGTTCCCAGGGTTACACTGATTTCCGTTTCCTAAGACACAGCGACCCCTCTAGCTTCGAACACGGTGCAAACCAGCCGAAATTGGGTTCAATAACTGTCAAAAACGAAAACAAAGCGCTCAAACCCTAGTGTGGCCATCACTGGGCCGGGACCCTGGCTATCACTGGGCAAAAGGTGGCCATCACTGGACAAACTGTACTGATATTTTGGTTTATTTTTTCTCAAAGAATAAATTTTATTTTGCTGGTTTCTAACCTTGGGAACCTTTACTCTATCCTTCTTGTATGTTCCTGTAAATTTTCATACCGGTACGACGTGTGGGACACTTAGTAAAGGGGTTACAGGCGCATCGTTGCGCTAAAAGTGGCCATCACTGGCCACCTACCTTAGGTACGCCAGGCGCGGTTTGGAGGAACAGGCCGCGAGACATCGCGAAGCCTGTTACGACAAGACGCGGTCTGGCGTAAACCTACCTTGTAATAGTTTGAACCGAATGCTGCTTTGATGTGCGATCAGGGCTCTTTGTGGGGCGATGTGTGGCGAGAGAGTCTGCCGAAGGCATACCAGCGCCGCAAGCCAAGGTAGGTGTTAGCGCCGCAGCATCGCGAAGCCTGTTACAAGACACGGTCTGGCGCACACCTACCTTGTTAACAGATATTACTACTACTTCAAAATATTCCTAGAACAATTCAAGACATCTAAAGGTGTTAGCTAACCTTTACCCGAGAGTCCAGAAACTAAGGCTGTATCCTAACGGCTGGCTGCCAGGGCGGGATAGTGAGTGAGGTTTGGCTCGCAGTCTGCGCGGAATATTGGAACGACCAACAATGGCCCGCGGTTCGGCCCGGCTCGGCGCCTTCGGGCTCGCCAGCGGGGCGGTGCAGGCCAGAGCTCGGCACGGCTGGTACGTACCAACACCGGCCAGTTTGCTCGGGTCTGTATTTTATTTCATACACAATTCTAAAAACTATCTTAGAAATAAGCTCAGACTACCCCACAGAAGAAAACCAAACATACAGACTTTATTGGCCTCCGTATTTTATTTCATACATTATTTTAAATACTACCTTTGGAAAGCCCATACTACCCCTAAGAAGAAAACGAAACCAGTATCATCTGCTTTCATCAACGGTCGTTAAGTGAGATTTTTGCTTACTACAAATAAAGAAATTGTGATAGCTGATATTTGGTGTGTGGCGAGCCGAAGACATACCTAATGACCCTGCAAAATCTCGCTTAATCGGCCGAGTTGTTCAGGTGTAGTTGTGCGGACCCACACACTCTACCAAAAAATGTCCTGTAAATGCCGTTAATTTATTACCAGTTTTCACTGTAGGTCAATTCACAGCGTTTACTGTGATCTGCTCACGGGATTCACTGTGATCTTGTTCGCGGTGTTCACTGTGATCTGGTCCCCATAACACTGTGAGTTGACGCCGCTAAGCACCGAAGTACTGCAAATCAGGCTCCTATTCACGGCGTTTACTGTGGCCAGATCACAGTGAACACTGTAACCGAGATCACAGTGAACGCCGTGAACTAGTTCACAGCAAACGCCGTGAATTGCATAACAGCAAACATTGGTAATAAATTAACGGCGTTGACAGGACATTTTTTGTAGAGTGCAGACAGACACAAACAGGCAGGATAAACTTTCCAACCCCACCCAAGTAACAGGCTTCGCCATCGCTCAGCCAACAAGATTCTTTTGGGGGAACGCCCAGACAAGAACTTTTGAATAGGACCCCTCAAAATATGCTAGGAAGTAAGATTTTCACCTCTAAAGGTAAATAGTTTCATGTTGTCCCCTTACTCACTTATTATGGTTGTCACTACTCCTGGTGAGGTTCAATGTTGAAGCCGGTACATTCGAACGGGCGATAAGAAGTTAGACGTTGTTCCAGTCCGGCAGAACCCCGTAGGGAACCAAACTCTAATACGTGATTTGTTCACTCTAAATGTCTTCCAAAGAAGTTTCCCATAACACGTAGGCAATGACGCAAGCATAATACGAAGGTGGTTTTTCTTCGTATTACGAAGGTTCTCTTTTGTATCTTATAATGAAAAATCTCAAAAGATTCGTATTACGAAGGAATATTGCTTCGTATTATGTTTTGCGCCAAATTCACTGTACACGGTGAAAAGGGTTCCTGGTTTTTCCAAGAGCCCGATGGTAGAGACATAGGCGTTTTTGGGAAAACCATGGTTTTTTTACCGTGTAACATGCAAATAACAGCGAGGTCAAGTTTCATTGTGAGACATTTACAGTGTTGGTATCAAAATCGTCCGTTCATTTTTGGATTTGATTGCAGATGGAATGCCACGTGTGTTTCGAGGAGTTCGACTGTCACAAGCACCGTCCGAAAGTTCTGCCTTGCGGGCATTCGTTTTGCCTGCAATGTCTGGATCGGCTGCCCGTCAAAGAGTGCCCTGTGGATGCGAAGGTGAGTCAGGTAGCTCTGGATTCCGACGACCGGGCGTCATCGAATTGCACTCGTCACTCAAAGATTCTTCCCTTTATTCACGTTTTCAGTCTTAACCATTTAAAAGATCATATTCCCATTTTAAAAGTCTGCACTTCATGTAACAGTAACAGACGCTGGATTAATTTTGTCCATCTCTTTGTAAACAACTAATACTTGACGATTCTGAAAAACTTTCAAGTGTTTTGGACTTACTATAATTTTGGGAACTCAGCACTAGCTTACCTTTTCCCCTAGGAATTTTTGTTTTGGCTGTTTCCAATCCTATTGTCAATTTAACCGAAACCTTCACTCACCCCCTTGAACCACCATAACATTCCTTTTCCTTTTCGCAGGGTTTTGACCCAACTGAACTGGTGGACAATTTCATCCTTCTTGAACCGTGTGACAAGTGAGTACGCGACCTAAAAGTTATTGTTCAGTGCTGCCCAAAATGCGTTCCTTGTAAGGGAGCTGTGAATTAATGTCCTTGAAACAAGAACCTCTAAGCAACGACAATACACTCACAGCACGTTACAGTTATTTTTTTCTCATTAATTACGTATTCGTGTAAGCAACAATAATATAGTATTTTCCAAGTAAGTATGACTAATTTCCTTTGTAAAATTACGTACGGAGCCAAATTGTCAGTACATTATTTATTACTTCATTAGTAGTTATTTAGTTTAGGCACTACAGTTTAAGACTGTAGTTGGGACTTAGTATGAACTGCAGTCCTTTCCACCCGGGGAGAAGTACGTATATATTATGGTTGCACAAATTACTTGCAAAAGTACTGTCAAAACGAGCAAAAAGTCAGTCAACGTATCGAGAGTGTATGCAACAATTTGACTTGTACATGTCATTGTCACGCATTTGAGAACTACTTTTGGTGTTCTGTCTTGCTTCCTTCGTCCAGAGTCCTCCATTGTTCTCCGCGCCATACATCAAAATTCATGTGAAATTCAAAAATTTGGACACCGAAATTGATTGTTTTGTCCCCTGTTCCCTTGCGTAGGACTTCTCACCCGACGGTCCGCTTCTGGTGCCGGAGCTGCAGGCAGGAGGCAACGTCGCGCTGCGTGGACGAGCACTCGGTGTGCAGCTTCAGGAAGGCGCGCGCGGAGGAGGCCGCCCGGCAGATGGACTCGCTGGAGGCTGCCGAGGCCGCCGTGGCGGGGCTGCGCGCCAAGCTGGAGGACTGCTGCGGCCGGCTGGAGTGGGACCAGGTGGCCCTGGCGCTGGCGCGGGGACGCGTGCGGGACGCGCTGGAGGCCGACCGCGGCAGCTGGGAGGAGACCAAGCGCGCGGCGGCGCAGAGCAGCAAAGGTGATTGCACTGTCGTTTACTTCCAATATCTTACTGACAGGGATCCTTACACTGTAAATCCAAAGGCAATACTTTTAGTACCTTTTTTTGGCGATACAATTGAGTATCGCCAATAAACGGCCTCACGGAAAAGTATTGCCTTCAAAACGGCGATACACGAAAATATCGCCGAAAGTTGGCGATACTTTGGAGTATTGCCACGACTTGGCAATAAACGTCAAACAAATCAAGGGGAGAAGACCTTGGTTTAATGCCGTGGTTTTGGCAATATCCAAAAGTATTGCCATATTTTGGCGATACTTTTTTGTATCGCCGTTCTGAAGGCAATACTTTTCCGTAAGACCGTTTACTGGCGATACTCAATTGTATCGCCAAAAAATTTACTTTAGTATCGCCGTTGCATTTGCAGTGTAGCTTACCTCATAAGGGCATCATAACGTTATGACACTGCAAATGCAACGGCGATACTAAAGGACATTTTTTGGCGATACAATTGAGTATTGCCAATGAACGGGCCTTACGGAAAAGTAATGCCTTCAGAACGGCGGTACAAAAAAGTATCGCCAAAATTTGGCAATACTTTTGGATAGTGCCAAAACCACGGCATTAAAACAACGTCTTGTCCCCTTGATTTGTTCGACGTTTATTGCCAAATCGTGGCAACACTGCAAATGCAAAGGCGATACTTCAGTACATTTTTTGGCGATACTTTTGTGTATTGCCGTTTTGAAGGCAATACTTTTCCGTCGGCCGTTTATTGGCGATACTCAATTGTATCGCCAAAAAAGGTACTAAAAGTATTGCCGTTGGATTTACAGTGGAGCAGCTCCAGACAAAAAAAACACTTGGCCGGGGACCCCCTCAGATCTGGCTCCCTCCCGGTTTTTTTGGTTCCTCTAGTGAATACGAATTGCCGAAACACAAATTGGGCTGGATTCGACACCGATTGGCTCTTTGGTAGAGGTCAAAACCCCCTAAAAATGGCTGTTATTGAGGGTTTGGGGCTTTTTGGGATCCCGGAACCTACTGGCCAAAAAATCTACCAAAATGTAGTTTCCGAAAGAAAAAAGTGCGCTCTTTCGAATGCCGTGTCGCGCGAGGCTCTACGACGTCGGGTTTGGACGCTACGGGCTCTCAAAGTTGCTCAATTTCACTATTTTTACTGAAGATTTGAGCGTATCAGGGCCGTTCGAAGCAGACCATCGGCGATTTCGCTCCTCTTTGGGTTAAAGGGTGCCTACCCATAGGTTAACAACCCCACAAAATTTCAGCCATCTCAGGCAATTATTAGAGGAGCTGTGAACAATTGAAGTTTTAGGTTATTTTAGCACTTAACTTAGGTGGTTTTGGGTCCAGAAAAAATATTTTTTTAACTATCTTTTTGAAAAAATGTTTTGAGGCACCATGATAAAAATACGTTTCAAGATGTGCTGATCAAATAGAGATAGTTGAAAAAAATATTTTTTCTGGACCCAAAACCACCTAAGTTTAGTGCTAAAATAACCTAAAACTTCAATTGTTCACAGCTCCTCTAATAATTGCCTGAGGTGGCTGAAATTTTGTGGGGGTGTTTACCTATGGGTAGGCACCTTTTAACCCAAAGAGGAGCGAAATCGCCGATGGTCTGCTTCGAACGGCCCTGATACGCTCAAATCTTCAGTAAAAATAGTGAAATTGAGCAACTTTGAGAGCCCGTAGCGTCCAAACCCGACGTCGTGGAGCCTCGCGAGACCCGGCATTCGAAAGAGCGCACTTTTTTCTTTCGGAAACGACACTTTGGTAGATTTTTTGCCCAGCAGGTTCCGGGATCCCAAAAAGCCCCAAACCCTCAAAAACAGCCATTTTTAGGGGTTTTTGACCTCTACCAACAAGCCAATCGGTGTTGGATCCGGCCCAATTTGTGTTTCGGCAATTCGTATTCACTAGAGGAACCAAAAAAACCGGGACGGAGCCAGATCTGAGGGGGTCCCCGGCCAAGTTTTTTTTTTTTGTCTGGAGCTGCTCTATCGTAAGAGTTAAAGTTATTAACCTTAACTTCTGACATCTTTTCAAAAAGGGTAAGTTATTTTTTGGTGTTATTTGAATTTGCGTAGAGATACTTTTGGAAGTACTTCCAAAAGACCGTATCCTTAGCCTTTAGCGAACATTGTCTTATGTTACGTTATGAAAGCAGTGTTAGTTAAATGTTAAGTTAAGGATCTCTGCTTACTGAGGTTTTTCTTCGTAATGCGAACAAAAGGCTTAGTATCATGACTGCACAGCGAAGGTGAAAAGTTGTCAGTAACTTACGACCAATTTCTTCAGATCACGATCAAATTTCTCATTATGAAAGATTTGTGTCGTGAAGTACTGCGAATGGGCTCAGTATTATGACTGCACGGCATTTCTCCATGGGCCAAAGGGCCGTACAGTCTTCTCCGCAGGACCTAGGAGACTGTACAGTCCTACGGAGAACACTAAGGTCTTACGGAGAACACTGTACGGTCCTACGCAGAATACTGTAAGAGCCTACGGAGAATATTGACAAGGGGGCTACACTCTTAAGTATAGGGTGCCCAGCAACTGGGCGCCTTAGTCACCCGCCCCACTTTTTAGGGTGCCAAATGTCGCCCAGTTTCTGTGCACCTCTGTCACCCAGTCTCGGGGTGGACAAATCATACAGTAACCGGCCCTCTCCCATGGTAGAGGATGCACAGGTGTCTAGTTCCTGGGTGACTAAGGTGCCCAAATTCTGGGCACCTTTGGCACCTTAGTCGCTGCTGAGCCATGGGTGAAGGCAGGTTCCTTTGTGGATTGTCCACCCCTAGACTGGGCGACAAAGGTGCCCAGAAACTGGGCGACATTTGGCACCCTAAAAAGTGGGGCGGGCGACAAAGGCGCCCAGTTTCTGGACACCCTACATTTAGAGTGTACGGAGAATTTCCACAAGCTGTTAACAGAATTTCCCGTAGCTTTTTGCCACAGTGTCAGTAGGAAAAGGGAGTGTTGTAACTGCAATAACCGCGGTCTATGTCACAGGACTGTCTGAGAGCGCGGCCTGCATCGCGAACGAGGTGATGGCCGCCGTCTCGGCGTCACTGCAGCAGCTGCGCCTCGTGGAAGGGGGCGGAAGAGAGCAGGAGAACGACCTTCCTGCATCTGACGAGTCCGGAGCCCCTGCACACGTAGGCGCCGTCGAAGGTAAAGGAACGTGATGCACACTCTAAATGTCTTACGAAGAAATTTCCCATATTACGAAGGAAATGGCGCAAGCATAATACGAAGGTGGTTTTTCTTCGTATTACGAAGGTTTTTCTGTGTATCTTACAGTAGAAAAGCCAAAAATATTCGTATTACGAAGGAATATTGCTTCGTATTAAGCTTGCGCCGAATTCACTGTATCATACGAATAACATAGGTCAAATTTCATTGTAAGACATTTAGAGTGCACTCTTAAAATCTTGCGAAGAATATGTTCGCTTTGCAAACCATTTGGTTGGCAGCTTGCGAAGAGCATGGCTTGATTGTATTACGAACTGGTAGTTCGCAATTTTGCGAACTATGTGTTTGCAAGGGTTCGCAATACAAACAGGTTGTTCTCAAATTGCGAAGCACTTCTTCGCAAGTTGCAAACTACTGGTTTCCAAAACGGATGCGTTCTTCGCATTGCACGTAAGTTATACTCTTCGCAAGCTTACACATACACACTAAATGTCAGGGGGCTTTTTTTGTCCCACGGTTTATGCAATTTTAACACTAGAAGCACCGGGTTTTCGGATTACCGTAAAGCGCCGAGCGGGCCAATTTGACCCAAGGGCATTTTCGTCGTACGTGTCAACTGTTGAACCGCCATTTCGACTCAAAGGGAACCTAAAACGGATTTGTAGACCCTTAGCAAGTCAAAGGACAATATTTGGTGCACAGGGGTCTCAGGGGGGCGAGGTAGGCAACTCGCAAACCATGATTTGCTGTTCTTAGTGTTTTCTACTGTGCCTTGTTGCCGAAACGTTATTGATGATAATAGATGGCATAATTGTAACCGCCTTGTGATCGAGATAGTGATTTTTAATGAAATTACTGAACCGTAGACCATTAAGACCTGGCCAAACCTTCAAAGCATAGCTGCAAGGCATGCCCGGAAACCAGGATTCATAGCTACGGAGAAGCTCATAGTAAGGAGGATTGAGTGCTCGATTGAGTGTGTGATAAAAAGGCTGGAATGTAAGAGACATGTGTAAACACCCTCGGGTAGTCAATAAACTCGCCATAACCAGCAAGGCGCGAAGTGGGTTCTAATTTGCGTCCGTTCGTCAACTAGCATTCAGTGATCTGTCCTGACCAGTTTTGCGCCTGCTGTATCCCTGAGATGGGTTTCCGTGTCGTTCAACGTCCTGGCCGGCTTGTACAAACATCTAGGGAATGATTAGTTGCCGAACGAGTAAAAATTTATGGGGGCAAGTGAAATACCTTGAAACACTAGACACGAGAGCAACAAAGTGGACATCGGTATATTATTTATCTCTTTACGCATGAGTAAGTGATGGAGTCCTTTGTCCCAAGGATTCGGGCTGAGCGTGCTATGAGTGCCACTGAAGGTAGACTAGCGCCTCAGTGTTCGAGAGACACCCGAAGGCGTTTAGAAGTCAATCGGGTTGCCCAAAATGCCCAAGACATTGGCAGTTTACGTCAAAGGAAGCTGCATGGTGTCTCCAGCCAGAAAATGCATTGCGGGTTGCCTACTTCGTTATAAACGCGGACCTAACGCATTCCTTATGACACGTAAGTTATTTTTAGTGGTGAAGAGTCAGTTAATAGCTCGTTGCGTTGTGTAGAAACGCGAAAATGTGGTCAAAATGCCGTGTGGGTCAATTTGGCCCGCTTGGCGCTTTACGGTAAAAGTCAATTTATCTCGGTCAAATATGGTCCGAGAACGTCAAGATTTCGAATTCAGATGCATTTCATCATTCTAGGAAAAGTCAGAAATTAGGGGGCTGCCACTTTCATTTTCAAAAGTCGAAATTACAGTTCAAAACTCAAAATGGGTCAAATGGGCCCGTTCGGCGCTTCTAGTGTTAAGCACATCCGACGCTGATACAATTTTGTTCCTGTCTGGTGACACATTTTGTCCGGCGCCAGCTGCAACTTGTACTTTCACTAGACAATTTGTCCCGCCTGGCGGACACAAAATTGCATCACCACCGGATGTGCTTAACATTGCATAAACCGTGGGACAAAAAAAGTCCCATGACATTTAGTGTGTACATCGGTTCGCAAGGTTTTAAGAGTATGCCAGCTTTGCACGTGATGTTAGACTGTGCGATATCACGGTATAGCTAGCAGCACACAAATTAACCTCGTAGTTGGAAAAAAATTTCAGCGTACATTTTTACAACGTTTGTGCACTAAAAAGTACTAAGTGCGAGGTAGGTCTGACGCACCCTGTATTCACGGAGATTGATCAGGGTCATAATCTGGGCGAAAAGTTTAGGTAATGTATATTTTATCACCACGCTTTGAGTGAGATTCGAGTTATCATTCTAATATGGGCGTGGAAAGTGCCGTTTGGGTGGTAGGTGGTAAAGTATACCCCGCGCATTAGTCGGTATTGATCAACGCTCTCACCGGTAAAACTGAAGCGTAGTTGTATGCTTGATTCAAGCAACGCTTGAAGACTTAACGCTTGACTTCAAATTCTCCCATGCATTTAGATAGGCGGGAGAGGGGCAAAATGGAGAACTATGCTTGAAGCCGAGCGTAGTTCTACGACGCTTGAAGAAAGGCGTAAAACTACGCTTGAGTTCTACCAGTGCTTCTATTCTCTCGTGATGGCAGCAGCGGTGGCTGCCGCCGCCTCGCAGTGGGAGGAGCGCACCAACGAGGAGGAGCGCGGCATCGCCTTGGAGGAGATGGCGGCCCGGATGCAGCAGGGCTGCCTGGTGGCGCGCGGCAGGGACTTCGACCCGTACTGGACCATGGACGGCGTGCCCCCCGGGCCCGGCACCGTCACCTCCAGGGGGCAGGGCCGCGTAGACGTGCTGTGGAGCCGCACCGGCGTCACTGCCGGCCACCGCATGGGGCTCCAGGGGCTGTACGAGCTCCGGCTGCAGGCGCCCCCTCCGCTGGTGAGCTTACTCCACTGACTGCGTAGTTCTACGCTTCAGTGACCTTGTGCTCTCTTTGAAGCGTACACTAACGCTTCGAGGTACTTGCTATGATAGGCGTAATACCTCACTTTAATTTTAGCAAAGTGACGATACTTTTTCCGAACCTCACTACGCAACTTCCCGCTACTTGTCTTTAAGGCCTGTGTGGTCTAGAACGTGTCTGTTGTCCTTGTCTGACGCAATCTTCAAATAGTTAAAGCTAAATTTCGGCTTTAAGTACTGGAAATTTGGTGTCCAAATCCTTTTTAAAACCGTTACTTGCCATTACACTGGACTTCAGTGTAAAGGTGCATGCAGATACCCCCTCAAATGCCTGGTTTCGGCGTGTCGCGGGTCGAGCCATTGTCACGAGGTTGCAGTTAATGATTCTTGCTTCCAGAAACCAAATGTTGGGACGGACCAATATCATTTTCTTGATGTTGAAACAATCGAGGACGTGAAGGACAAGGCAATGTTGCTTGCAGATGCCAGTCTAAACAAGGTGAATTGCGTTCAAAGCTGAGTCGGGATCAACTACTTCGCCTCCATTTTAAGAAACGAAAAGTACTTATGTTTGCACAAATTACTTGCATGATTACTGACAAATTGAGTCATTCGTCAGTAACGTGCAGTGCAGAGGGTGCAGGCGATCTGTAAAAGCTCCTCCCACCATAGGTTCACTGAGAATAAACAAATCATAATGAAGACCAAAATTTTGATCAAGGGCACACTTCAGACCTAACTGTCTATTAAATACACATTTACAAACGCATGCTTGGCCAAGTACACACTTACAAACGCTCACGCTTAGCAAGGAGCTAAACTGCGCCAAGCATGCGTTTGTAAGGGTGTACTTGGCAAGCATGCATTTATGAGTGTGTACTTGGCCAAGCATACGTTTGTAAGTGTGTACTGTACTTGTTAGTAGACAATTAGGTTTGTAGTGCATTCATTATTGCCTTAGTTTGGAGAAGGAGCAATTCATCCCCCAAATTTGTCCGAGATTACTGTGTGGCCATGTAGGAAGCTGATACTCCCTTCCTTACCCAAATTTGGGTAATATAATATTATCCTCACTAAAAATCGGGTTAAGACTTTTTCGTTCTCAGCGTGTTTGCGGAGTATCTGAAACTGTAGTGTACTGTAACAATATTTGTTAAGTAAAGTACTGTAAAGTTGTCTTAATATTCAACATTTTATGTTGTGGTCACACTCGTAACCTGTGGATTTGGAGGGTAACTGCTTGCCAGTGGCCTGCGACCTACACTAGAAGGCTCTCTACCTGTGTTGCCTCCAGGTGCTCACCATGGTCGGCCTGTACTGCAGCGACTCGCCTGCCTGGAGCCAGAGGGTGCTGGAGCAGGTGGCGGACCACCTGCTGGGCCTGCAGATGGTGCTGCCGCAGCAGCGGCACCTCGACGTGGTGCTGGCGATGCAATTGGATGCGCTCTGCCTCGTCGAAGTGAGTGGGGACCAACCACTGCAGGTGAGCAGAGATGAGAAATTTGATGTCAATAGTCGAGGGGGAATGCAGTCGCGTAACTGGCGGGTCGCTCTTTCCGTAATAGCACGTGGAACAGTACGTGTATTTGTAGCGTAATGGTCGAAATTCTCCTATTTTTACTTACTTTTTGGGTTTTGTTTTTTTTTTTTTGAAATAGCTAAAATCCGATAATTTTAGGGCGTGATAGTCGGACCACAGGTTTTGAGAGAGCTATAAGTGTTGTATAATCGTTAACATGCTTGATGTATTTTTATAGCGATGACTTTTTATCGCCGCCACCGATGCGACAATTTGAAGGAATTACCTTAGCCCTCGAATCACACCTGACTGTAATTATGTCGGACAGTGAAGTCTTCCTATTAGGCATCGAGGGGTCGTCAGCTTGCATATTACTTCGTACACAAGCTTTATATTACTTTTATATTACTCGTATATTACAGCTTAAAATCCATAAATATTACAGAAAAGACTACTTAAGGGGGGACCCTGGTGAAACTTTCAAGTAGGCTTTAAAATAATCCCAGAAAGTTGAAACTTTGCTTGATTATTAGGGTTTATTATGGTGAGTTCATAAAACAAAATTCAATCCAAAAAGTTGAACAGTCTCTGAGAAAAGTGGCTTTTTAGTGTTTTTTAGAGTGTTGGGGAAATATCTTCCTGCGTCTTTCATTGGAACGGAAAGTCTTGAAAACTTTTTTGGGTCATCCTTAAGATGTATAGAAGAGATTTTAGTGACGGAATTTTCAATTTCAACTTCTGTCCTGAGATATCAATTTTCAAATTTTAACATTTAAAAAAAGTGAATTTTTTGCCTTTTTTTGAAACTTTTAGGAGTGTGTTAAAAAAGTAGGGTTGATATTTGTGAACTAAAACGTACTAAGTGCGAGGTAGGTCTGACGCACCCCGTATTCACGGAGATTGATCAGGGTCATGATCTGGGCGAAAATTTTAGGGAATTTATCTTTTATCACCACGCTTTGAGTGAGATTCGAGTTATTCTAATATGGGCGTGGAAAGTGCCGTTTGGGTGGTAGGTGGTAAAGTATACCCCGCGCATTAGTCGGTATTGATCAACGCTCTCACCGGTAAAACTGAAGCGTAGTTGTATGCTTGATTCAAGCATACAACTACGCTTGAAGACTTTACGCTTGACTTCAAATTCTCCCATGCATTTAGATAGGCGGGAGAGGGGCAAAATGGAGAACTATGCTTGAAGCCGAGCGTAGTTCTACGACGCTTGAAGAAAGGCGTAAAACTACGCTTGAGTTCTACCAGTGCTTCTATTCCCTCGTCATGGCAGCAGCGGTGGCTGCCGCCGCCTCGCAGTGGGAGGAGCGCACCAACGAGGAGGAGCGCGGCATCGCCTTGGAGGAGATGGCGACCCGGATGCAGCAGGGCTGCCTGGTGGCGCGCGGCAGGGACTTCGACCCGTACTGGACCATGGACGGCGTGCCCCCCGGCCCGGCACCGTCACCTCCAGGGGCAGGGCCGCGTAGACGTGCTGTGGAGCCGCACCGGCGTCACTGCCGGCCACCGCATGGGGCTCCAGGGGCTGTACGAGCTCGGCTGCAGGCGCCCCCTGCCGCTGGTGAGCTTACTCCACTGACTGCGTAGTTCTACGCTTCAGTGACCTTGTGCTCTCTTTGAAGCGACACTAACGCTTCGAGGTACTTGCTATGATAGGCGTAATACCTCACTTTAATTTTAGCAAAGTGACGATACTTTTTCCGAACCTCACTACGCAACTTCCCGCTACTTGTCTTTAAGGCCTGTGTGGTCTAGAACGTGTCTGTTGTCCTTGTCTGACGCAATCTTCAAATAGTTAAAGCTAAATTTCGGCTTTAAGTACTGGAAATTGGTGTCCAAATCCTTTTAAAACCGTTACTTGCCATTACACTGGACTTCAGTGTAAAGGTGCATGCAGATACCCCCTCAAATGCCTGGTTTCGGCGTGTCGCGGGTCGAGCCATTGTCACGAGGTTGCAGTTAATGATTCTTGCTTCCAGAAACCAAATGTTGGGACGGACCAATATCATTTTCTTGATGTTGAAACAATCGAGGACGTGAAGGACAAGGCAATGTTGCTTGCAGATGCCAGTCTAAACAAGGTGAATTGCGTTCAAAGCTGAGTCGGGATCAACTACTTCGCCTCCATTTTAAGAAACGAAAAGTACTTATGTTTGCACAAATTACTTGCATGATTACTGACAAATTGAGTCATTCGTCAGTAACGTGCAGTGCAGAGGGTGCAGGCGATCTGTAAAAGCTCCTCCCACCATAGGTTCACTGAGAATAAACAAATCATAATGAAGACCAAAATTTTGATCAAGGGCACACTTCAGACCTAACTGTCTATTAAATAACATTTACAAACGCATGCTTGGCCAAGTACACACTTACAAACGCTCACGCTTAGCAAGGAGCTAAACTGCGCCAAGCATGCGTTTGTAAGGGTGTACTTGGCAAGCATGCATTTATGAGTGTGTACTTGGCCAAGCATACGTTTGTAAGTGTGTACTGTACTTGTTAGTAGACAATTAGGTTTGTAGTGCATTCATTATTGCCTTAGTTTGGAGAAGGAGCAATTCACCCCCCAAAATTTTGTCCGAGATTACTGTGTGGCCATGTAGGAAGCTGATACTCCCTTCCTTACCCAAATTTGGGTAATATAATATTATCCTCACAAAAAATCGGGTTAAGACTTTTTCGTTCTCAGCGTGTTTGCGGAGTATCTGAAACTGTAGTGTACTGTAACAATATTTGTTAAGTAAAGTACTGTAAAGTTGTCTTAATATTCAACATTTTATGTTGTGGTCACACTCGTAACCTGTGGATTTGGAGGGTAACTGCTTGCCAGTGGCCTGCGACCTACACTAGAAGGCTCTCTACCTGTGTTGCCTCCAGGTGCTCACCATGGTCGGCCTGTACTGCAGCGACTCGCCTGCCTGGAGCCAGAGGGTGCTGGAGCAGGTGGCGGACCACCTGCTGGGCCTGCAGATGGTGCTGCCGCAGCAGCGGCACCTCGACGTGGTGCTGGCGATGCAATTGGATGCGCTCTGCCTCGTCGAAGTGAGTGGGGACCAACCACTGCAGGTGAGCAGAGATGAGAAATTTGATGTCAATAGTCGAGGGGGAATGCAGTCGCGTAACTGGCGGGTCGCTCTTTCCGTAATAGCACGTGGAACAGTACGTGTATTTGTAGCGTAATGGTCGAAATTCTCCTATTTTTACTTACTTTTTGGTTGTTTTTTTTTTTTGAAATAGCTAAAATCCGATAATTTTAGGGCGTGATAGTCGGACCACAGGTTTTGAGAGAGCTATAAGTGTTGTATAATCGTTAACATGCTTGATGTATTTTTATAGCGATGACTTTTTATCGCCGCCACCGATGCGACAATTTGAAGGAATTACCTTAGCCCTCGAATCACACCTGACTGTAATTATGTCGGACAGTGAAGTCTTCCTATTAGGCATCGAGGGGTCGTCAGCTTGCATATTACTTCGTACACAAGCTTTATATTACTTTTATATTACTCGTATATTACAGCTTAAAATCCATAAATATTACAGAAAAGACTACTTAAGGGGGGACCCTGGTGAAACTTTCAAGTAGGCTTTAAAATAATCCCAGAAAGTTGAAACTTTGCTTGATTATTAGGTTCATTATGGTGAGTTCATAAAACAAAATTCAATCCAAAATGTTGAACAGTCTCTGAGAAAAGTGGCTTTTTAGTGTTTTTTAGAGTGTTGGGGAAATATCTTCCTGCGTCTTTCATTGGAACGGAAAGTCTTGAAAACTTTTTTGGGTCATCCTTAAGATGTATAGAAGAGATTTTAGTGACGGAATTTTCAATTTCAACTTCTGTCCTGAGATATCAATTTTCAAATTTTAACATTTAAAAAAAGTGAATTTTTTGCCTTTTTTTGAAACTTTTAGGAGTGTGTTAAAAAAAGTAGGGTTGATATCAAGATTCCGTCACTAAAATTTGTCGACAAGTCATCAATGAATAGAGTCCATGCAAGACGACTCATGTAGGTGTCAACCAGGAACGCAGGAAGTCTTTCTACGGCAAAATTTTTTGTCGACTGAGCAAAGCTGTGAAGTGGAGCGTATAAAACAACGACAACTGATCTCAATGTTATTTCTTTCCAAATGATGAAAGAACTACCCACATAGTTTAAAGGTGTTCAACCTGTTGAATTTGAAACCTTCTATGCACATTTTTATCTATGAACTTTAAAAATACTATTTTTGGCAGTTTTGGCCATTTTTTCACTAGGGTCCCCCCTTAAAGCATAGGTAGTATGAAAAATCAGGCAAAAAACGGTAATATGGGACGTATATTGCCATATATTACTGTATTACTTCGTACACGCGCGATGTGAGTTGACGACCCCTCGTTAGGCATCCTTATCGGGAGCAGCGTTTGTCAAACAGTCAGGTAGGAGGCGATTCCGAGCGCACACTTATCATCTTACGATGGTAACGCGAACGTAACATACGCTGAAATCAAAACATGCGTATTACGCTGAAATGTCATCGTACTACAATCGCAACCAATGTACCTTACGTTGACAACGTGCGTAATACGTTGGAAACATGCGTATGACGTTGAAAATCCTGCGTACCTTACGTTGACATTCGTGCGCATTATGCAGGTTGGAAAGTGGTCGTACCTTACGATGGAAAATCATCGTATTACCATTACGCACGAAAACCAACGTAAGATGATAAGCGTGTGCCCAAGGGGGTTTCGGGCGCCGTAATCCCTACCTGAGGCGGCTAGGCGCGCCACCTGAGCCCGTCTCGGGCTAGTCAGAGAGGACGGGGCTAGTCAGAGAGGACGGGGCTAGTGTTGCGGGGACGACTTGATGTCTAATAGTCACACTGAGAATCCAAACGCTATGAGTATAGCGTCAATTGGTGCAATGCTTTTGCATTGCACATGAAGTGCAATTCCTTCCCATTCCATGCAAAAGCATAATGCATTTTCGGGATGCATTGCACGTAAGGTGCAATACGGCTGTGGCATTGCACGTATGGTGCGATATCTCAGTGCATTGCACCATACGTGCTATACTCATAGCGTTTGGAATCTCAGTGCATCTCGAGGAGTATGCCAAATAAGTAGACTTCACTGTTGGTCGTTTTTATTTCGCAGTTAAGAGGCTCATACATGTTAAAAGCACTTTGTAAAAAATTTTTTTGATGTAGACGGATTATGATTTTACAATTTCTGTGTTAAAACCCTTTCAGATAATTGAGTAAGCTTCATTTTGGCTTAAAGTTAAGTGATTTTGGACATTTTTTGGAGAGTTAGTCGAAACGTTTAAAATTTTGGTTCTTGCAAGATTTTGTTCGCATACTTGCTCAGATCTGTGGGGAAAAAATCAGGGAGACTCATCTCTAGTTGTGTCATAGAATTGACTTTAATGGGCTTTATATCTGCAATAGTTTTCAAGAAAAAAAAAACAATTTTTTTAACAATGTTCTAAACAAATTTTTTAACAAAAAATTGTTTTTATTTTTTTTCCTGAAAACTATTGCAGATATAAATCCCATCTTACGAGAACCAAAATTTTAAACGTTTCGACTAAATCTCCAAAAAATGTCCAAAATCACTTTATTTTAAGCCAAAATGAAGCTTACTCTATTATTTAAAAGGGTTTTAACACAGAAATTGTAAAATCGTAATCAGTATACATCAAAACAAAATTTTTACGAAGTGCTTTTAACATGTATGAGCCCCCTTAATTTTTCACCGAATATGGACGTTTCATTCGTTGATAAGTGGTGCCTTTTCCCAATCCGTGCAGGTGAGCCGCATGGCGTCGCTGCGCTTCCTGGAGCTGCACTGCTCGCTGGAGGCCTCGCTGCCCGTGCTGTCGTTCCCACGGGCGGCCGCGCCGGCAGGGCTGCTGTGGCTGCGCTGCGGCGTGCACCCGCTGGCCACGGCGCTGGCCCTGGTGCGCGCGCACGCCGACTCCTTGCTCGAGCTGCAGCTGGTGGCCGCCTCCACGGAGCCCTACGGCTGCCCCGACCTGATTGCTTTGATTGCTTCTTTTTTCTTTTTACTCTGACCAGAAACACAAGACTCAGCAGATCTTTCTCCACTGTATGCCAAAGACTCGTTTACTCAATCACAACATTTGTGACTATATTTTCACCTAGATCATTGCATTTTTTTGTTTATAGCTGCTTCAACAAGTAAAGCGTTTTACATTCCATTTCAAATTGTAGTGTCCCAGAATGCCTTCGGTATCTCGTATAAAGACACTCAGTATTACGACAGTGTGCCATTTACCTTTGAACCAATTAAGTTTATTTCTATTAATATTCCAGATTAAAAGTCACCGGTTTATCTGACACCCACTTACGGGAGCAGAACACTGGTACCGTACACCGGGGTCACTTAAGACAATATTTCAGTTTTTTTCTTTTTTTTTTTTTTTTTTTTGGATCGTGAGTCTACAAAACTTCTTTCACCAACCCGAATCCAAACTATGTTAAATTTCACATGACTATAATCGGTTTGGCACGCATGGATTTTTTGGGGGTCACCTAAAGTGAGAGTTATGGGCCTCCAAAGTTGTTTCAAGTTACCACGCTTTTAATCGGTTTTAACCGATGAATGGAACAAAAAGCTGAAAAAGGCGAAAAAAATGTTTTATGTTGTGAAACCACTCATTGCGATTGAAAACGATGAAAATTTAGTTTTGCAAGGTTTCGGTTTGGGGGGGGGGGGGCACAGCCATTACCTCAAAAGAGTGATCAAACGTGTCTGTTTGACTCTGAGTTTATTTCTGGCACACATGAATTTGGGCGGCCAAACTCTTCTCTGAAGTCAAGTTTGAGTAGTATCTACAAAAGACCTGTCCGATCCACATTGGATGAGGGACAATGGAGATATGTGCCTCTAAAGATCAGAAAACGGAAAAACACGGCTTTTCTCTCGACTAGTTTCAGTTTATTTCTAGCAAATATAAATTTGCGGGGCCAAATTCTTTTCAAAACTTTAAGTTTTACTTAAAAAATGAGACCTGTCCGACTGGAATTGGATGGGGGGAACTGGAGATATGCGCTTCCAATAGAACAGAAACGGTAAAACACGACTTTTCGACTAAGCAAGTGGCAAATTTTAATGTGGGTAATCATTGGAGGCGCATATCTCCAGTTCCCCCGTCCAATACCAGTCAGACAATTCTCATTTATTAGATAATACCCAAATCTGAAGTTTCATCAAAGCCTAGCGGCGCGGGCAGACTGTCCGAAGGTGGCCTCGTTGACCTTTATTCCTGATTGCCGTTCAAGCGATAGCGACTTTAATGCAAACTCCAAGTCAAAGATTCAATTGATGAGTGTGTTCGGTGCGAAACATCGCGGCTTCATAGCAAGCATGTGAGCGGTAATAAGGTAAAGCAGTTAATAGCGGTAAATCTGTGTGGGCCACGAAGTTAAATTTGGAGTTATTAAAACTGCACTTTGGAATTGTTAGTGACGTCAAGTTGGACAAGGAAAAAAAAACCAAGCGCAGGAAAAAAGGCATTTTAATACAATGCAGCAAAACACTCACGGTGATTATAAAAATATAAAATAAATCACAGATTATCAAGTCACTGAGACCTACTTCATCGAGGTACAGTGCTGTTGAGCCTAACGGCTTTGCAAATGCTACGCAGATGGACCCGAACATCGTACGTTAACAGTCCACAACGCTGCCTATGAACAGAGAACCAAATGTCATTTGCGCAACGTACTCGCAAATTAGCTAATGCAATAGGCGTTGTACAAAAACATGAGCAAAATAAAAATAAAGAAAAAAAGATTAGACTTAACATATCACATTTGAAAATATTCAACCAGTCCTTAAGTTTCAGGCGGCTAGTACATGCTAAAAGTTTCATTACAGTTTTTTTTTCCAAGTGCAAAATGGCACCCTCTGATATTCTGCAGTAAGGCCCGATCCAGACAGAAAATGAGGTACACGTTCAATAAAACATAGGAAGTTCAATTGCGACATATATGTGACTATCGGTCAAGCAACTATCAAGCAAGAACGTAGCTGTTAGTTTGCTTCGATTTCAAAGTAAATTATTGCGGATACTTATTGAGGGCAGGACCACGGAACTGACGAGAATGAGGAAAGTTTGATTCATTAGTAAAACCCTCGTAAAATCAATAAAATGTTTTAAAAATCTTGTGTACAAAGAAAAAAAAAACATAGCATCCTTACATCAAACTTCAGCTAAGGTTCTCATTCTTGGCAAATAATCAAACTCAGCAGGAGTATACCTGCATTTACGCTACGAGACACAAAGTAAGAAATAGAATTTCCCGTGTAAGTTTCGGCTTTGTAAGAATTGGACACAAAACTTGGTCGCAATTCAACTTCCATTCTTTCCTACGAAATAAAATATTATTTTGATGACAGAACCGAAGTGTATCGGCAAGCTACAAATTCAACCCGACAGGAAACGCAGAGCACGACACACTAAACTCTTGTCGACTTTTTAAATGCATTATTAAGCCCCTCTATGCGTAGTTATGCATCCAGAGACACGTACGTAAGGTGTGTAAATAATGACGCATCAGTGTGCATATTTAAGACAGAAAGATGCGTTAAATGTACACAGCAATGCCTGATGTTGTACATACCTCACGTGCATATCAGTGCATGCATAATTATGCATGAAAAAAAAAGGCCACAAGAATTAAGCGTGAGTGTCGTACAGTAAAACTGGCCTGCCGGTAAGTGACCAGCTGGCACTCGACAGGTTAAGTCTCCGACGGCAAGACGCGTGCAGGAGAGTCAATCACAGACAGCGGGCTTGCTCTTGATTCCGTGGGCATGGCTCAGGTGGTCCTTGAGCTTGTCGCGGCGACTCAGCACCTTGCCGCACTCAGTGCACTTGCACTGGCGCAGCGGGTCCATCGTCTCGGCGTGCTTTTGCTGGTGCCGTTTCAGGTGCTCGCTCTGGGTGAAGCGCCGGCCGCAGACCAGGCACTCGTGAGGCCGCAACTGCAACAGAACCAAGGGGGGGAAATCACTGAGAATTTCGGTGTACAAATCCAATGAATCTCAGTCAACTTTCGATGAATGTCCGTCGAATTTCAATGAATTTCAGTTCAATTTCGACGAGTTTTAATGAACTTCAGTGAATTTCAGTGTCCAAATTCGCAGTGTAAAAAATTTTGACACGAATTTTCGTGTTGTGGCTAGTGAAGCGCCCCTTCTTAGTTATACTCTTAATGAATTTTGTGTGCCAGTGGCAATGAAACTTCATTCGCCATGGCACACTAAATTTTGCTGGCCACTGGCGATCAGAAGGCTTCTTTCCTACGCCAAATGGCAATTTTTGAGTCGTGGCGCTGAAAAGTATGCTCGGAACCAATATTGTGAACTTTCAAGTTTGGCGAGGAGAATTCGTCTCGGGCCGATGAAAAAAAGCGGCACAAGCGGTCGGCATAGAACCCGAAACTTCAACTTGGATGTCTTGTGCCTTGACCTCTCGGCCACCGCACCACTGCTGGGTGGAGCGCTCAACAGCGCTTCATCATGGACTCGCGAGGATTAGTCTGGCCACCACCACGTGTGGCGAAGCAAAGCATTCTTCCCTTAGCCACGACTTGAAATTTCTTAACTGTCGTCTGGGTAGGATGCCTTTTCAGTGCCACACCTATGATTTTTCTCCGCCAAGGGGCTGTCAAATTTAAAGTCGTGGCGGAGGGAAGCATCGTTTTGTTAGCCAAGTGGTAAATTTCACATTTCGACTTGAAATTTTATAAGCCAATGGCTCTATATGTTCTATCTGGTGGTTTGGAAAGTGGCCTTTCCATAGCCAGTGGCGCTTTAAACACGCTTTCGTGTCTGGCTAAGAAAATTCAAAAAGCCATTGGCTACATAAATTTAAAGCTATTTTTAACAGTGCGGCTTAAGTTATTTCGCCTTAGACAGAACAGCTCTTTCTTAAGTGCGTGGATGCGAGGAGGTAGGCACTCTCGTGACGTCCGACGTCTACACTGGTAGCCAACGAATGTGACGTCATAATTAATTCGATTGTGAATTTTGTATCGCTCGACTAGTTTCAGTTTATTTCTAGCAAATATAAATTTGCGGGGCCGAATTCTTTTCAAAACTTTAAGTTTTACTAGACCTGTCCGACTGGAATTGGATGGGGGGAACTGGAGATATGCGCTTCCAATAGAACAGAAACGGTAAAACACGACTTTTCGACTAAGCAAGAGGCAAATTTTAATGTGGGTAATCATTGGAGGCGCATATCTCCAGTTCCCCCGTCCAATACCAGTCAGACAATTCTCATTTATTAGACAATACCCAAATCTGAAGTTTCATCAAAGCCTAGCGGGCAGCCTGTCCGAAGGTGGCCTCGTTGACCTTTATTCCTGATTGCCGTTCAAGCGATAGCGACTTTAATGCAAACTCCAAGTCAAAGATTCAATTGATGAGTGTGTTCGGTGCGAAACATCGCGGCTTCATAGCAAGCATGTGAGGGGTAATAAGGTAAAGCAGTTAATAGCGGTAAATCTGTGTGGGCCACGAAGTTAAATTTGGAGTTATTAAAACTGCACTTTGGAATTGTTAAAGACGTCAAGTTGGACAAGGAAAAAAAACCCAAGCGCAGGAAAAAAAGGCATTTTAATACAATGCAGCAAAACACTCACGGTGATTATAAAAATATAAAATAAATCACAGATTATCAAGTCACTGAGACCTACTTCATCGAGGTACAGTGCTGTTGAGCCTAACGGCTTTGCAAATGCTACGCAGATGGACCCGAACATCGTACGTTAACAGTCCACAACGCTGCCTATGAACAGAGAACCAAATGTCATTTGCGCAACGTACTCGCAAATTAGCTAATGCAATAGGCGTTGTACAAAAACATGAGCAAAATAAAAATAAAGAAAAAAAGATTAGACTTAACATATCACATTTGAAAATATTCAACCAGTCCTTAAGTTTCAGGCGGCTAGTACATGCTAAAAGTTTCATTACAGTTTTTTTTTCCAAGTGCAAAATGGCACCCTCTGATATTCTGCAGTAAGGCCCGATCCAGACAGAAAATGAGGTACACGTTCAATAAAACATAGGAAGTTCAATTGCGACATATATGTGACTATCGGTCAAGCAACTATCAAGCAAGAACGTAGCTGTTAGTTTGCTTCGATTTCAAAGTAAATTATTGCGGATACTTATTGAGGGCAGGACCATGGAACTGACGAGAATGAGGAAAGTTTGATTCATTAGTAAAACCCTCGTAAAATCAATAAAATGTTTTAAAAATCTTGTGTACAAAGAAAAAAAAACATAGCATCCTTACATCAAACTTCAGCTAAGGTTCTCATTCTTGGCAAATAATCAAACTCAGCAGGAGTTTACCTGCATTTACGCTACGAGACACAAAGTAAGAAATAGAATTTCCCGTGTAAGTTTCGGCTTTGTAAGAATTGGACACAAAACTTGGTCGCAATTCAACTTCCATTCTTTCCTACGAAATAAAAGAACCGAAGTGTATCGGCAAGCTACAAATTCAACCCGACAGGAAACGCAGAGCACGACACACTAAACTCTTGTCGACTTTTTAAATGCATTATTAAGCCCCTCTATGCGTAGTTATGCATCCAGAGACACGTACGTAAGGTGTGTAAATAATGACGCATCAGTGTGCATATTTAAGACAGAAAGATGCGTTAAATGTAGACAGCAATGCCCGATGTTGTACATACCTCACGTGCATATCAGTGCATGCATAATTATGCATGAAAAAAAAAAGGGCCACAAGAATTAAGCGTGAGTGTCGTACAGTAAAACTGGCCTGCCGGTAAGTGACCAACTGGCACTCGACAGGTAAAGTCTCCGACGGCAAGACGCGTGCAGGAGAGTCAATCACAGACAGCGGGCTTGCTCTTGATTCCGTGGGCATGGCTCAGGTGGTCCTTGAGCTTGTCGCGGCGACTCAGCACCTTGCCGCACTCAGTGCACTTGCACTGGCGCAGCGGGTCCATCGTCTCGGCGTGCTTTTGCTGGTGCCGCTTCAAGTGTTCGCTCTGGGTGAAGCGCCGGCCGCAGACCAGGCACTCGTGAGGCCGCAACTGCAACAGAACCAAGGGGAAATCACGGAGAATTTCGGTGTACAAATCCATTGAATCTCAGTCAACTTTCGATGAATGTCCGTCGAATTTCAATGAATTTCAGTGAAATTTTAATGAATTCCAGTTCAATTTCGACGAGTTTTAATGAACTTCAGTGAATTTCAGTGTCCAAATTCGGCTTAAGTTATTTCCCCTTAGACAGAACAGCTCTTTCTTAAGTGCGTGGATGCGAGGAGGTAGGCACTCTCGTGACGTCCGACGTCTACACTGGTAGCCAACGAATGTGACGTCATAATTCGTTCGATTGTGAATTTTGTATCGCTCGTTTGAATATGATGTCACATTCGTTAGAATGTTGATCCACGTTCAAACGAAAACACTCTAATTTACACCTCCCTTGTAACAATCCTGGATCCGCGAATGAAAATAACGCAGGGCTACGAAACGCAGTGACTCACCTGCAAATGGACAAGCATGTGCTTATCGAGCCGTTTGTAAGTCTTGGAGCACACCTCACACCTACCGCAGCGATTCATCTTTTTCGGCATCGGCGGCACGTCAGCTTTCGTCGGACGCCTCCGCATCCAGCGGCCCTTCGTCGCCGCCACATCCGCACTGTTCCTCGCAGACGCACCTGCAACGAACAAACCACGGATGATTACAGAGTAAAAACACTCTAAATGTCTAACGAAGAGATTTCCCATAATACGAAGGAAATGGCGCAAGCATAATACGAAGCAGGCGCGGATCCAGGGGGGGGGAATGCCCCCCTCCCTGAAGGCGGCGAGGCCGCCTAAAAGGTAGGCCAAAAGTCGCACATTACCTATGTAGGTAGGCGACATTCGTGCCCCCCCACCCCCACCCGTCTCTGGATCCGCCCTTGATACGAAGGTGGCTTTTCTTCGTATTACGAAGGTTTTTCTTTGTATCCTACAATGAAAAAGCTAAAAAGATTCGTATTACGAAGGAATATTGCTTCGTATTATGCTTGCGCCGAATTCACTGTAACATACGAAAAACATAGGTCAAATTTCATTGCAAGACATTTAGAGTGAAAACCATGTTAAAAGATTACGGAGCATGACTTCGTAATACGGGAAAACCGGAGGCATTGTGAAATCTACAAAAACTGCGCAGTCATTTAGTGCGAAAGCATTTTTTCATGGGACGAGGCAATTTCAAAATGCCTTTATCATGACTCAAGTTATGAAGCTATTGCTAAGCATCAGTGATGCATCATTGACTGTTAAGGGGGGACCCTGGTGAAACTTTCAAGTAGGCTTCAAAATAATCCCAGGAAGTTGAAACTTTGCTTAATTATTAGGTTCATTATGGTGAGTTCCCAAAACAAAATTCAATTCAAAATGTTGAACGGTCTCTGAGAAAAGTGGCTTTGTAGTGTTTTTTGGAGCGTTGGGGGAAAATCTTCCTGCGTCTTTCATTGAGACGGAAAGTCTTGAAAATTTTTTTGGGTTATCCTAAAGACGTATAGAAGAGATTTTAGTGACGGAATTTTCAAATTCAACTTCTGTCCTGAGATTTGAGTTTTCAAATTTTAACATTAAAAAAAAAGTGATTTTTTTCCCCTTTTTTCAAACTTTTAGGTGTGTTTTAAAAAAAGTAGGGCTGATATCAAGATTCCGTCACTAAAATTTGTAGACAAGTCATCAATGAATTGAGTCTATGCAGGACGACTCATGTAGGTGTCAACCAGGAACGCAGGAAGTCTTTCTACGACAAAATTTTTTGTCGACTGAGCAAAGCTGTAAAGTTGAGCGTAGAAGCCAACCACAACTGATCTCAATGTTATTTCCTTCCAAATGATAAAGAAACTACCCACTTAGCTTAAAGGTGTTCAACCTGTTGAGTCTGAAACCTTCTATGCACATTTTTATCTATGAACTTTGAAAATACAATTTATTGGAATTTTGGCGGTTTTTTCACCAGGGTCCCGCCTTAAGAGTGTACAAGTCGACACGACTGAATCTACCCAATAGGGTACTTTCGTAGAATCCTGGACCGGAAGCAAGCAGACCAGCAGACGCCAAATTGGCCGGAAACTAACCTCTCTTCGGATCCAAAACTATAGCCGAGCTGTACAAATATTGCTCGCGAAACACATATGCACTGCAAACAAGTATCAAACGACTGTTTATGTTCAAGTGTGGCCGATACCTTTGACGAACGTCTCTTTCCCATGTCAAGTTTGGATCTACTTCCGCCAACATGGCGTCTGTGTGCTTCCGGTTCAGGGATCTACGAAAGTACCCTATTAAAAAGTTTTGTACAAGCCGTTACATAAGTTCCCAGGTTAGTAACAATTAATAATTGCTATCCTAAGGGTAAAATATTTCTTAGGCAGCGTAGTCTGAAAGTCTTCGGGCTTCACACTGTCGCTTAAAAAGACCCAATACACGCTCTTGCATTGTCTACTTTACCTAGTAAGGTAACCGTTTGCCGAAGCCAAGCGAATAACTCTTCAATGAAACTAGTTCAATGCAATAGGTTTCAAATCAAATTTTAGACACATTTCGGGTCTAAGTTGCATGCATTTCAACTGAAAACTGCATATTTACAGGATAATTAGCTCAAGACAACATGCCGCGTTCGTTAGGCCGTCTCCCGGCCTGAAAGTTCGTCCATGACACTATGCCAGAACATATACTTCTAGTGAAAGACATTTCGCAGGACCTGCGAGCGATACACCCGTCAGGAAATTATAGCCCAGGTCCCAAACCTGTTTTAGCTGGTGTCCGTAGCAACGATACTGTTTCTTTCCAGGGCTGGGACAACTTCTTTCCCGCCCCGTACCAATGTTCTGGCACCGTCCTCGTCGCCACCTGCTGCAGAAAGAGTGAATCCGTTACAGAAACCTTTACTTCACCGGTTGAATCGCGGGCATTACACACGAAATTCTTATGGACTTTTTTATGCATAGTTATGCATGCACAGATACGTCCATAAGGTATGTAACTAGCCAGGGGAAGGCCTTCGGCCTCGCTGCTGAGCTGGATTTTGCTGCAGATGGAAATGCATTTACATCAGTAGTCAATTAGGAAGTGTTTATTTCGAAAATTATTATTGACCTCGGACTACTGACCTCGGACTATGTATACATATATAGGTATAAGATTAAGATCAATAATAATATACCTCTAGTAAACTAAAGGTATCGGGGGGGGGGGGAGGTGGACAATTCGAACGTTTAAATTCCCCAACAGAGGGCTTCGCTTCGCGCAGCAATAAAATACGCATCACTGTGTACATTTTATGCATCATCCTGCATACAATGTACATAGTGATGCACAATATTAAACATACACTCTAAATGTTGTACAGTGAAGATTCTCCATATTATGGTGAAAATGTTCCATATTATGGTGGTGCAGCTGACTTCGTAACATACCATTAAGAATTCACTGTACCTTGTAGAGATTTTGACGAATTTCGTTGGTATTATGGAGAAAATCGCCACCGTATTATGATGGTGCAGCCTTTCACCGGAAGACATTTACTGTGTACCTTATGAACGTATCTGTGCATGCACAACTATGGATAAAAAATGCATAATTATGCATTTAAAAAGTCCATAAGAATTTAGTGTGTATGTGCGTTTGAGCAGTCTACCTGTTTCTTCCAAGGGGCAGCGACAGAGGCCCGCCGCGCGATGCCTTCGTAGGTGCGCTGAGGCGGCCCACACCGCAGGGATGGTCGACGGCGCACTGACTGCCGTCGCCCGGCGAGAGGCACCAGCTCCCGCATCGTGTCCCAAGCGTTGCCAGACGGTGCGGGCTGCGGAGAACGGGAGGACATCATTCCAATAACCCCCGCAATTGTGGAGGGAAATTTACAGTAGAGTTTTCTTTTCAGAAATGGCCAGAAAAGAATTGAGTACATGAATGTTATGGTGGCTGTCACCTACACAGCAAATCAAAGTGTACGACAGGCCTGCACTAGTGCAAAGAATTCTTGAAAACTTTCTTTTATGCATGCACAGGCACACTTACTCAAGGTGTGTATAATATTAGGCACCACTGTGTACATTCTTTACAGGAAGATCCATGAAATGTACAGAGATGCAAAATATTACACATGCCCGACGTGCGTACACTCTAAATGTAGGGTGTCCAGAAACTGGGCGCCTTTGTCGCCCGCCCCACTTTTTAGGGTGCCAAATGTCGCCCAGTTTCTGGGCACCTTTGTCACCCAGTCTCGGCGTGGACAAATCATACAGCAACCGGCCCTCTCCCATGGTAGAGGATGCACAGGTGTCTAGTTCCTGGGTGACTAAGGTGCCCAGGGCACCTTTCACCCTACAAAAAATGTTCTGTCAACGCCGTTAATTTATTACCAATGTTTGCTGTTATGCAATTCACGGCGTTTGCTGTGAACTAGTTCACGGCGTTCACTGTGATCTCGGTTACGGTGTTCACTGTGATCTGGCCACAGCAAACGCCGTGAATTCGAGCCTGATTTGCAGCACGTCGGTCGACGTCGGTGCTGAGCGGCGTCAAACTCACAGTGTTTACTGTGAACCAGATCACAGTAAACACCGTGAACAAGATCACAGTGAATCACGTGAGCAGATCACAGTAAACGCTGTGAATTGACCTACAGTGAAAACTGGTAATATATTAACGGCATTGACAGGACATTTTTGGTAGAGTGTTGGCACCTTAGTCGCTGCTGAGCCATGGGTGAAGGCAGGTTCCTTTGTGGATTGTTAACCCCTAGACTGGGCGACAAAGGTGCCCAGAAACTGGGTGACATTTGGCACCCTAAAAAGTGGGGCGGGCGACAAAGGCGCCCAGTTGCTGGGCACCCTATATTTGGAGTGTACCTGTGCATGCAAAAAAGGGCATAATTATGCATTTATAAGCCCACAAGATTTTTTCCTGTGCCACATCACGGCAAAAGCAGTGGATTCCTGGGCCCACCCCGGAACGAGGGGTCTTTTTCCCACACTGAGAAAAAGCTTACGAATAAAATAATTCGTAATTTACGAACTATTTCTTCGGATAACTCAGCATTTTAGTTCGTAATATGTATTGCTCAAAATACTTCGTAAGGTTTTAAGAGTGCAGGAGTCGCCTGGGATTGACAGGTACGGAGTGCTTCCTCGCGGAAACAAAAATCCATACCTGAGACGGGAGTGGGGTCGGGCGCGGGTCACAGGACGGGGCGGGGCTGGTCACCGCCTTCTCGGCCGATATTCCACTGGGAGTCTTCCCGTCTGGCAGCAGCATGAAGTACACGGGCGTACACGTGGTGCCATACACCGGCGCGAGGCAAAAGGGCGAACTCATGGCGAGGCTCAAGGAAGGCACCGGCGAGGCAGAAACCTGCAAGGTAGAACACTGGTAAAACTACACTCTAAATGTCTTACGAAGAAATTTCCCATAATACGATGAAAATGGCGCAAGCATAATACGAGGGTGGTTTTCCTTCGTATTACGAAGGTTTTTCTTTGTATCTTACAATGAAAAAGCTGAAAAGATTCGTATTACGAAGAAATATTACTTCATATTGTGCTTGCGCCGAATCCACTGTAACATACGAATAACATAGGTCAAATTTCATTGTAAGACATTTAGAGTGTAACGACTAACATTGCGTTTCAAAGTGATGTCACGTTACTGAAATGAGAGCGTAATGTTGCTAACCTCGTGAATGGATAATTAGGCATTTAAAAAAATCATAATTCGACGCCCTAGCAGAATGATTGCAACTGCACGCTTAAAACCTTCGGAAGTATTTTAAGCATTCATAATACAAACTAATCTACTTTGCTATAGGAAGAAATAGTTCGTAAATTACGAAAATAATTTCTAAGTAAGCTCATGTATGCTCGAAATACTTCGTTATAACAAACTGCTTTCCTTTGCAAGGCCTGAAATAGTATGTAAGGTCCAGAGTAGATGCACAGCACCTTGGGATGACATTTTCATAATCTTAAAGCGACAGCAAATGTTTACAGTGTTTTCAGCAAGCGTAGTTGAGGGCTTGCACTCTGGAAACCTCACAAACCATTTAAGGCCTTGAAAAGAAAAGCAGCTTGTTGTAACGAAGTAATTCGAGGATACACAGGTTTACAAAAACTTCGTAATTTACGAAGTATTTCTTCGTGTAGTAAACGAAATCAGTACGTGCGTGCTCAAAATGCTTCGTGAGGCTTTACGCGTGTGAATAAAGGGAAAAACTAAGCATTACTTTTACCAGTGAAGGGCCTTGGACTGGAAGATTTTCACGAAACTCGTCCTGAGATAGATCTTCCCCAGAGGAAGACCCCGGCGACTGGCTGTGTGGAGAGGCGTCGTATAGTGAAGGGGTTTCTAGAGAATCGTCGTCCAGCAGAGACGACTCGAGAGAGCTTCCGTCCAGCGAAGTTTCTCCCGGAGAATCGTCTTCGGACGTTGAGTCCTCGGAAGCACAGCCATCGTCAGAATCGTCCTCGAGCGGACAGTCCTCTAGAGAGATGTCTTCTGGGAAATGGCCGCCTAACGCAGGACCATGAAACGCAGAGGCCTCGAAATAAGAAGGGCCTTCTAGCAAAGGGTGTCCGAGTGAAGGTGGATCCAGCAAAGGGTCTCCTAAGAAAGGGTACTCCATCAAAGGCCCTCCAAATGAAGAGTCTTCTTGAAAAGGATGCTTGAGCGAGGAGTCTTCCAGGAAAGATTGATCGAGCGGAGGGTCCACTAGAAACGGAGCCTCCAGGGCAGGGTCACCCAGAAGAGGGTCTCCCCGCGCAGAGTGCTTCGGCGAAGGGTCTTCTGGCAATGGGTCTGGAGGCAGAGAGCCTTCTGGCAAAGGTTCTTGAAGCAAAGAGCCTTCTACAAAAGGGTCCTCATATGGAGGGTTTTCTGGCAAAGGCCCTTTTGAGAAGAGTCTACTTGTGACAGGTCCGCTGGTGCAGGTCCTTGCAGTGAAGGGCCTTCCAGTAACGAGTCCTCTTGCAGTAAATCTTCTTGCGAAGGGTCTTCCTGACAAAGCTCGTGAGTCACAACATTCTTATGAGAAGATTCCCCTGAAGAGATTTCACCAGCAGGTGACTCCGCTGAAAAGGAATCCCTCCGGCATACTTCTTCACGAGGGGCATCTCCACGCCCATTGTCCACGAGAGCCAAATGGTCCTCCGACGCCTGGTCAAGGACACTGGTGCAGCCCTCGGAGCCAGGTGAGGTTTCCAGTGGAGTGGTGAGGGACACGACCACCTCTTCGACTGCCTCGGGGGCAAGGTAACAGCCAGGCGATGATGAGCCGCCTGGGACGCAGTCCATGGGCTCCAGACCGCGTCCCTGACACATCTCGCTGACGTCACTTCCAGATTCCCTCATTTCGGAAGGTTCCTCGCAAATGCCGAGACAACCGGCATCAATTCCGATCCCGTTCTCGTCAGATTCGTCAACGACGTCCATCGACAATCGCTCGAGCTCTGGGAGTCGCACTTCGGAGAGCGGCGCGCCACAGCCAGCCGTTTGCAGTGGAGTGGGCGTGGCCTCGGCGTCCGCGGGCGCCTCATCTCCGCCGTCGGCCCAGAGGCTGGCGTCGTGGCGGAACAGCACGCCGTCCGCAAGGCACTGGCCGCGCACCGCGTCCAGGAACTCCTCGTCGTCGCCATCGTCGTCGCTGCAGACCCCCAGCCGCACTTGAAAGAAAATGGTAATCAAGTTAAGGATACAGAAAAGCGAAACTGGCATGTCATACACTCTCAGTCCCGTATTGACTTTTTTGTCTCTTGCCATAAAGTTCTTGGTGCAAACGTATGCACTATTTCGTTCGTTGTATAATGTATGAAGTCCATTTAACCTGACTTTTTGTCATTTGCAATGTACTTTTCAGTTTCTACATGATCTATTGGCAATTTAATCTTTAAAAACGATCAAAATTGTACATAGTTTAGGGGAAAATAGTATATTTTACATTTGCTCAAAAAACGTTATGAGCAAGAGAGAAAAAAATCCACCTAGGTCTGAGAGTGTATAAGTATTTATCACAGGAAGTCCACTTTGTGGTCAAAATTCAACCACCATTAGACGAAATTCAACCACCATTAGACGAATTTATTTCCAAAGTTTAGGGTCCCAACTCCTATTATTTTTTTGAGTTATGGAGGTTTACCTAAACTTTTAGTCGTTCCTCCCGAATTCTCCTCACGACAAAGGATAAGCTACCCAGTCTTCAGATTCTAGCAGTTGTGTCTATTTTTGAATAGGATTTGGGGGAGGGGGGCTTAAGTGAAATTTCGAATTTTTTCATGTTTTTTTTCAGCCTTCTATTTTTACATATTCCTGACATGAAAATGGACATCACCATTGTATTCTCCATGCCTTTTTACCGTTTCAGCATCTTTGGTTGCGGGTGTGGTGGCACTTTTTGAATTTTCGTAAACATTTTAGATTTGGTCCATATTTGGGTTTTGATCCTTGCGCGCAGGATTTCAAATCCAAATGTTGTCCCAAAACATCTGACGAAGTTGCCACATCTTTTTATGATCAAAATGAAGAAGACAAGGGAGCCGGATTTCAAAAACATGTTTTCTTCCGGTATTAATCTTGAAAACTAGAATCATGAATGTTTTTATGCCGCTTTAGGACATTTATTGACCTGTAACTTGAGATTGAGACACACATTTTTGAAAAAAAAAAACCTCTCCCTTGTTTCCTAGCTAATTGATCACTGATCATTTTAAGCTGTCGCACAACATTCTACCTCTTATGCTCTCCGAGATATCCTGCACGCAAGGTACAAAAAACTAACCGAGAAAAACTAGCATAAAATTTAAGGGGCTAACCTAACAAAGATTGTACGAATTAAAAGCTCCCTATGCCGATTTAACGGTGCTGTGGTTCGAAATATGGTCAGGTTTGGTTGTACCAAGACCCAAAGAGTCGAAAAAAGCAAAAACCGAAAATCGATTTTCATCACTTCACCCTCCCCCCACCCTTATAAGATACCGTTGACAAATTTGAAAATATCAGTTCAAAAGAGGCTGTAAAAGCTTTTTAATCAGGCCTATTTATATTTTTCTTCAAATTTGCGAGATTTTGACTCATTTTAATCTTGCTTTTGGTTTTCAGGATGATTATAAGAGTGATATTAAAAAGGGGGAAACGGTATCTTTTTAGTATTTAACACATTCGCTGCGACGGGGTTTTGGGCGGAAAAGCCCAGACTGCGAAGGCCTCCTCAGAGAAAACTATTGACCGCACAAAGCTCGGACACATACCATTCGACTTCTCATAGGGTCAAAACACCAACGAGCAAATAAAAAAATACGACCACGGGTGTTCTCGTATCGCAGTATGGGCCATTCCGCCAGTGCGCGGCGCCCAGACTGCGATACGAGAACGCGCGTGGTTGTATGAGCAAATTTCTCTTCTGGCCAAAACGGGGAAACAAGAACAGGTAAGGTAAAAAATCAATTGTGGGTCACATTTTTGAAAATTCCAAATTAAGGCCTTTAATTCTGACCTGGTGACAAAAGTGCATGTGCGGCCTTTAACTATGGTCCTTGGACTAAGTTTTGCAGCATAGTAGCCCTGTCGGTCATCCTTATTTACTAAGCTGTGGCTGTTTTAAAAATAGTCTGTTTTGGCCCACAATTGATTTTTGGAACCAGTTGTGGGTCAGCATTGTAGGAAGCTCAAATTTGGATATGATTTGCTTAAATGCGAGAGAAATTCACTTCTGAATTTGTTTTTCGGAGTCGTGAAAACTGCAGGATATGTAGGACAATGAATCAATTGTGGGTCACATCAATTGTGGGCCATTTCGTCTTTTTGCTTGTAAATTGACCACTTTTGCAAGATATTTTCTTATTTTCATTAGTTAAAGGTCCCTGGTTCTCAATAAACCAAGCAGACACGTTTTTCACTCAAAAAGGAAAAATACATAAACAGGCTAATTTCACTGTGAGACAGATGTGAGTTAAACGTCCTGGATTAGAGACGAAACTTTAGTGCATATTGTAGGGCCGCCGGTGTGGTAGACAATCCAACACCACACCCTGTCATCATGAGGTATTGCTATTGTTTATTATCTATTTCAGACAGAATATATAGTCTTTAGGGATTGATTTGGCTCCTTATAACAGGGCCGGACTGGCCTCGGGTGCCTAGCCAGCAGTTGGAGAGCGGTCCCCTTCCGGGCGCTATGTAAGCCTCGCAATGCCCCCCCCCCCCCCCCCCCCAACAAAAAAGCCTTATAGCATGGCCGACTGGAAGAGCTAGCGTTGTCATCCGCGGCTGTAGCCTAAGCTTAACAAAACCTTCGTATCGTAGTACTAAATGTGACAGCAGAAAAATGGAATTTACTGTGAAACATCAATCATCCAGAAGCGCAGAAAACAAAAAATAGCAGAAAAACTACCGGAAAATTTGTTTAAAATAATGGATCTGACATGGAAGCGAACGCTTCTTTGCCATCACCCGCGCACCATGGCATCGAATGATTTCGGCTGTACTATGGTAAATTTATGTTCCCTGACCTATTATGAACCTAAATCAGCAAGGGCGTCCCGTTTTACCTCGTAATAGCTTCACGGTGGCAATTTGAAAAACACATGATTTTTCGCCTCGTTGGATGGGCGCTTTTTTCACGACTTTTTGAAGGGCCTTCCTTTGAAGCCTGATAGGAGCTGTCACAGTCGTCGCTCGGACAAAAACGCTATTTGGGAAGACAAAGAAAGGTTGGCGGAAGGTCTACCGCGAAATTCAAATCGATTCAATCTCCGTCGGGTCTGCGGTGACCCGTCGAAAAAAATGACCCACAATTGATTCGTGACCCACAATTGATTTTTTACCTTAGGAAAGAGCGACCAAATTTTTACTCGTTCTTTACACACCACTCACTAACATACAAAACTCTGTGTGAAGAGAACGAGTATTGTGTTCAAAAATGAGTTTTGGGGGGACATCTTTCATCTCAGATCTCACAGCATGTGGGAAAATGAGAGTGGTATCAAATGAAAGATGGAGTGTCAGTCGCTTGATCGTAAATGAAGTTTTTTTTTACATGCAATGAGAAATATTGAGAAAATGAACATGAAAGAGAGACGTTTTTAGTGCACTATGTGAAACTAACCTCTTTTAACGTGTCTGTATCTTTTGATGTTGAACGCCACTGAAACGCAAAGTACAACAACAATGACACGAGATCTTTGGTCAACAAAAATCTAGGAGGGTTTTTTGCAAGTGACAATGGATAATTTTGAGAAATTTGGTAATAACGAAACATTGTTTAACCCTAACCATGATACATGTCTCAGAACTGCAAGCTGTGTCATCTAAATGAATTTCTTTTTGATGGTGTTGCACGTCTTATGTTCGAGATGAGAGATGAAATAATAAGTTTCATTTGACTGTTTTCTAAAATAAATGTGTCCTTCTGAGGGTTTTGGTCATGGAAAAAGCGGGTTTTTGGCACGGACTCACGGACTCTAGTGTAAATTCGATTATGCACGAGAATCGATATCTCGAGATATCGCGATGCATCGATGTTTCCTGCCTGAGAGGAGAACCAACCGGAAGCGTTCGTTAAAAGGCAAAATTACAAATCGTCAGAGGACAATTCATGTAACGATCAGCGACTGACACATCAATCTAGCTTTGTAAAGAACGAGTCCCTCCCATGTGATATCAATTCTTTGATGTCTTTCCTTCTTGTTTTTGACCTGCTCTGCCTCTCGAAAATTTTGGTTTTTGTTTCGACGTCCTGCGACCATTTTCGTACGAGAACCAGGGATGATACCCAAACCGAAACGATACCAGGGCCGTTACGACAACAGTTTGCACATATGACTGAAACTCAAAAAGTGTAGCACCTGGAACCACGGGAAGAGCTTTTCCTTGTTGATCAAGGCGCTCTGGAGTTTTGTTCCCATATGAGCCAAGTCAAAATTCCGCTTCCCTGAGTTTTGTTGATTTAGGCCCCTAAAAGAACAAAACTCAGGGAAGCGGAATTTTGACTTGGCCCATATGGGAACAAAACTCCGGTACGCCTTGATCAACAAGGAAAAGCTCTTCCCGTGGTTCCAGGTGCTACACTTTTTGTTTAGTTTCAGTCATATGTGCAAACTGTTGTCGTAACGGCCCTGGTATCGTTTCGGTTTGGGTATCATCCCTGACGAGAACACGTGTTCTCGTACCGCATTTTGGCCAAACGGCAGTTACGAGAACGGTGTTCTCGTATCGCAGGAAGCGCCATGGCCAAAAATTAATTCTTCGCCCACGCATCAAAGACACTACAGGCAACCAAGGGGAAATAACTCCAGCCAAATTTGTACACCAAAATTCAGCAAACATTTAAAATTTACTGAAATTCTTGAAAATTCGTCGAAATTTGACTGAAATTTATCTAAATTCGACTGAAATTCGACTGAAATTCGGTGGATTTGTACACCGAAATTCACAGTTATTGCCCCTTGCAGGCAACATTGGGAGACGCCGGAGAAAATTTTGCCAAGGCGCATCCTGCGATACGAGAACACCGTTCTCGTAACTGCCGTTTGGCCAAAATGCGATACGAGAACACCGTTCTCGTACGAAAATGGTCGTAGGACGTGGAAACAACAGCCGAAATTTTCATGAGACCTTGTAGGTCAAATTTTTTTTGGTCTCACTTCCCCACCTATGCCCGTTTCCTCGT